CCATTCATAGCGGTTCTAAAGAGTTTCTAAGTTCTCCTTCACATCTGGATTTGATTGCACTTAGGCCAACCGAACTTTCCTTTTCCTCCATGCTCGTGAAAGTTTCTCTGAAGAGTATGAGTGTACTTGTACATCGACTAGCCTTCTTCGTTTGATCATACCCTTCAAATATCCCGCGGCTTTTCACGAAGAACAGATGCATGGCGTATCTCAAGCGGTTCGATGACAAAAGCACGCACATACTCGGCTCAAGTGAAGCGCTATTTCGGGTTCAGTACGGTTTATTTACATTGTATCCATAGCAACTCGCTAGGGCTTAATTTGCTAGTTCCGTTTGATTAACACCTAACAGGCTTCTTCGAATAGCCTTCTTTTCAAAGCAATAAATGACATTGTTGAAGTAATTACTGCATATATTCAATCAAGTGTATTAAAAGTGATGCTATATTGCTAGGCAGAAAACTTTGGCGCTGTTCGGCTGAAAGAGGGGCGTTCTGCACTTTAGCTAGATCCTGTCAAAGTATACAATTCGCATTGGTGAAATCTGGAGACTCCTCATGCCCCCAGCAAATCGAACTGCGCCAAGAATGTCATAAATCCCTTTCTTTTCAGAGATCTGAAAACGGCCAATGTGTTCCTTATGAAGGATGGGTTTGCCAAGATTGGCGATTTTGGAATAAGCAAAGTAATGGGCCCGGAGACATTTTTTCAAGGCGCAAGGAGTGTTGTCGGTACACCGTACTACATTAGTCCTGAGATGGTATGATTTTATTGAAATAACAAATATTATGAAAAAATTTGCGTGGCTTTCGTCTTGTCTTTTAGTTTCGTGACTTCTAACTATTTATTCTTCGGGCAACTTAGAAGGGGAGCGGGGGAAGCAGACGATGTCATTGTTTGATTCTTCCTTGGCCCGCTTCCTTCTCTACTGTGCTAGGACAGAAAGGCAGCCACTCGAGGTGATGTGCCGGGTAATAGGCACTGCCGCAACTTGTTGTAGTCTCCGCCCCTCCGATTACCGCAGAAATACCGCCTTTTAAGCAACTTTCGGCTATCACAGTGCTACTTGTCTTCTTTTTTTTTTCCAAAATCTGTACCTGTGACGTTCAGGAATCCAACTTATGCTATTATCGTCGAAAAATCCAAAGATTATTTGTTGCTGTGTCTGCTTTCCGTCCCTGGGGTTTACTGGTTGCCCTGATTACGAACATGTTGCAAAAACCCAATTGCACTGCGTCGAGTATCATTGAAATTCCTCCTATTAAGTCATCTCCAATTTGAGGAACGTGGGAAATTTCGTTTTGAGATAAAATGCAAGAGGACAGATAAGAAAAGATGCTGAAAATCAAAATAAAAGCTGAAAGCTGAAAAAAAGAGGGTGATGTTCCGGTTTCCCGGGTTAAGTAAAACTCCGTCGTCATCTAATGATCAGCTATCAAAGGGCAAGGCATGACCTGGCGATAAGCCAGAATTTTCCCGCGGAGTAGCACCCTTCTCCAAACCTTTCCGTTTTCCCAACGCAAGAACCATCTCACAATTTCCCTCTCACTGTATAAACCACTATTTCTTTGCGGCTGGGGGAGGGGCTGAATCCAGTTGCACCGACTATAAGAACTCGAAGATAGATGCTCGGTTTCACGGGAAGCTTGAAGTGCAGATAAGATGCTGTTAGCTTCTGTTTCGGCGACTTAAAAAATTTTCGTAGTCGAAGACGCTTTGAATAAGATGATGTAATATTTTCTTGTAAAATCTAGTTTTTTAGTGCTCTGGAAAGTCTTACAATGAGAAGAGCGATATGTGGGCTTTGGGATGTATCCTGTACGAGATGGTCTGTTTACAGAAGGCCTTCGAAGGCGAGAATCTGCCTGCACTTGTCAATAGAATTATGACGGTTTGTTACCTTTTCATTTGGAATTAAAGCTTTTGGACAAGGAGAGTTCGGCGCAGGGCCCAGCATCGTTGCGTGAAACCTATGGGGAGGGTCGTACTTGGACCGCTGCGGAGGGGAGGGGATCTCAAACGGTGAGCATCAAACGGCATAAAATTGCCATAGCTGAGTTTGATGGAGCGGAATGTAAGCTGCATAGGAAAGGAAGACTACGAAGTTTTGAAACAACTGGTTAGCAATATCAATAGTTAGCGCAGTACGTAGATGACTAAATAATACATCTCGAACAGATTCGTGCGTATCGACCTTTCCAAACCCTGAACAAACATCTGCTTGCATGGACAAAATCAGAAGTTACACCTTTCCACCACCTCTGCATAGAAGCGTAATGCACGGCGCACACTCGGACCAAATCGATCGATGATAACCAAATTATGCTTTCGACTCAGTTCAACGGGAATATGTGTTTTGAAGGCATATTGAAGTTCGCGAATGAGTATCCTTACAATGGCACGAAGGAGTCGAGCTTTTGAGTGGCC